TCTGCTTCTGCTTCCATCAGCTACTGGATGAAGGCTCTAGGGTGGCATATAAGGTAGTCATCAATCTCAATATAGGGGAAGGGCATTTAGGGTAGCCTCTCCTTTGGTTCCTAGTTGGGGTCATACTTGTGGATCTCTGTACAATTCCCTAGTGCCAGATTTCTCTTTAAACCTACAGTGGCTCCCTCTATTGATGTCTCTTTTCTTGTTCTCCTCGACTCCTCTCCTCTTTTCTCCTGTCTTCCTGCCCCTTCCCCCAAGCTCCCAATTTGTTCAGGGGCTCTTATCCCTTCCCCCTTCACTGGGGGACAGTGTATGTCTCCTAGGGTCCTCCTTGTTTCTTAGCTTCTCTGGCAGTGTGGACTGTAGGCTGGTAACCCTCTGCTCTGTGTCTAATATCCACACATGAGTGAGTACACACCATGTTTGTCTTTCTGTGACTGGGTTACCTCACTCAGGATGGTTTCTTCTACTTCCATCCATTTGCCTGAAATTTTCAAGATTTCATTGTTTTTTGTCCTGCTGAGTAGTGCTCCATTGTGTAAATGTACCACACTTTCTGTATCCATTCTTCTGTTGAGGGGCATCTAGGTTGCTTCCAGGTTCTGGCTATTACAAATAATGCTGCTGTGAACATAGTTGAACAGATGTCCTTGTTATATGAATGTGCATCCTTTGGGTATCTGCCTAAGAGTGGAATTGCTGGATCTTGAGGTAGACTGGTTCCTGTTTTCCGTAGAAACCGCCATACTGATTTCTAAAGTGGCTGTACAAGTTGGCACTCCCACCAGCAGTGAAGGAGTGTTCCCCTTTCTCCACATCCTCTCCAGCACAAACCATCGCTGCTGTTTTGTTTTTTTTTTTAAGTCATTCTGATGGGTGTAGGATGGTAGGTATCTCAGAGTTATTTTGATTTGATTTGCATTTCCCTGAAGGCTAAGGATGTTGAGCAATTTAAGGGTCTTTCAGCCATTTTAGGTTCCTCTATTGAGAATTGTCTGTTTAGTTCTGTACCCCAGCTTTTAAGTGAATTATTTGGTGTTTTGGTAACTACCTTCTTGAGTTCTTTGTATATTTTGGAGATCAGCCCTCTGTCAGATGTGGGGATGGTGAATATCTTTTCCCATTCTCTGGGCTACTGTTTTGTCTTGTTGACTGTGTCCGTTGCCTTACAGAAGCTTCTCAGTTTCAGGAGGTCCCATTCATCAATTGTCAATCTCAGTGTCTGTGCTACTGGCATTATGTTCAGGAAGTGGTCTCCTGTGCCAAAATTCGTTCAAGGGTCTGGTTTGATCCTATGTTGGTTCCCCAGCTGTCAGACTGGGGTCCATGAGCTGCCACTTGCTCAGGTCAGGTGTTTCTGTGGGATTTCATGCATGATCTAGACCACTTTGTTCGTCACTCCTCCCTCTCTACAACTGGATTCCAGGAGTTCGCCTCAGGGCTTAGCTGTGGGTGTCTGTCTGCTTCTGCTTCCATCAGCTACTGGATGAAGGCTCTAGGATGGCATTTAAGGTAGTCTTCAGTCTCATTATTGGAGAAGGGCATTTAAGGCAGCCTCTCCACCATTGCTTAGAATCCTAGTTGGGGTCATCCTTGTGGATTCCTGGAGATTTCCCTATGGCCAGATTTCTCCTTAAAC